CTTGTTCTTCATAAGATGTTGAAATAATTTTTCTTCAGAATTCTGAAAATGTTATCTCCTTGTTTTCAGTTTTGCTGTTGTTGACGGTTTCATGTGATAAGAATTTTTTTCTTTTTGGAATCTTGTAGACACTTACCTTTGACTTCAGTGTTTGAAATTTCAAAATAATATGCTCTGGTATGGGTTTGGTTTTTTTTTTTTTTTTTTTAATCCATTATGCTTGGATGAAAAGTTCTGTTTACTTTTGTCCTTCAATGTTAGGACTTTTTCTTGAATTATTTTGTGGTTTTTTTTTTTTTTTTTTGGAGACACCACACTCAGCTAATTTTTTCATCAAATTTTTTTTGTAGAGATGGGGGTCTTGCTGTGTTGCCCAGTCTCATTTTTATTTTTAACCACTCCTTCTTTTGTTTTTAGAGACAGTTGTGCTCTGTCACCCAGGCTGGAGTGCAGTGGTGTGATCTCAGCTCACTGCAACCTCAGCCTTATGGGTTCAAGTGATTCTCCTACCTCTTCCCAAGAGCTGGGATTACAGTTGCACACCACCACGCCTAGCTAATTTGTTTATTTTTCTTTTGTATTTTAGTAGAGACTGGGTCTCACCACATTGGACAGGCTGGTCTTGAACTACTAACCTCAGGCGATTCACCCACCTTGGCTTTCCAAAGTACTAGGATTATAGGTATGAGCCACTACACCTGGCCAAAGCCCCCCACCTTTTTTATAATTTGAATTTCCTCCCCTGGCTTCCTGTTCTTATTTTATGGATTTCATATCTTAACATTCTGAGAATATCTATCCATCTATCTATCTATATCTATATAGGTAGATAGATCAAATATATATTTGGCTCCAAGGTATTTTGTTTTCCTTTTGTGTTTGCGTCTAGGAATTTCTGGAAATCCATCCTGTTTGTTCATATTTAAGAGTCAGGTACTGAAAAGCAGATTGAAAGTTCAGCTCTGTGTGAAGGGCAAAATTTGTGAAGTGTTTAATGTTACTGTATGATGACCCAGCTGGACACATTTGATTGGGAGGCCCCCATCTATTATATCTTTTGTGTTTTCTCTGTGGGAGATGGTTGGCTACCTCAGAGAGGAATCTTTTCTCCTACCTGGCCTGTATACAGGTCTGATTGCTAGTGTTTGAAGAGACAGGTGGAAAAAGAGAGTGTAGGATCTTACCATTCAGTAGTTAGATTTTTTTCTCTATTTTCATTTGTTTCCTGACGCCTGTGTTTCTAGTTCAATTGTGACAGAGAGTAAACATCCAGTCTTTAGTAGTGTGGTGTAGGCTAGTCCCTGATTAGCCTGGGATAGAGGCTCTGGGGATCTGTGTACTCTTTTTATTTTTATTTTTTTTTGAGACGGAGTTTCGCTCTTGTTACCCAGGCTGGAGTGCAATGGCGCGATCTCGGCTCACCGCAACCTCCGCCTCCTGGGTTCAGGCAATTCTCCTGCCTCAGCCTCCTATCTGTGTACTCTTTATACAGACTTTTGACCAGTCCATTAATTATCAGCATTATTTGCTGTCAGTGCCTCCATTTCATGAGTTTTTTTTCTGGTTCTGTGGAGAAAGCCTATTCCTGGTTTTCTGACCACAGTCTGGTCTTCTAAATTACTTACTACCTATTTTTCTGGTTTCCAGCTTCCAAAATTTTGTTTCTGTTGTATCCTTTCATTTGTCCTCATGGGTCTATGAGTTTAAAAATAAAAATTCCTTTTCTGTAAACATAGTAAACCTAGTTTCTGAGGAGGCATCAGTAAATATGTTTGTTCACATGTATTTAACCACAAGTCCAAATGCTGTTTTCTACTATTCCATTACCCTGCTCTTGGTTCTCTAGCATTTATTTTTGGGCAAAAATGGCTTCACTTTCCAAGCTGAAAGAAATATTTTTAAATTACTGCATTAAAAAAAAATACAGAGCGGGTGGGGCTCAGTGGCTTACACCTGTAATCCCTGCACTTCGGGAGGCTGAGGTGGGTGGATCACCTGAGGTCAGGAGACCAGTCTGGCCAACTTGGTGAAACCCTATCTCTGTTAAAAAATACAAAAAATTAGCCAGGTGTGGTGACACACACCTGTACTCCCAGCTACTTGGGAGGCTGAGACAGGAGAATTGCTTGAACCCGGGAGGTGAAGGCTATAGTGAGCTGTACTGTAGCCTCTGCATCACGGTACTCCAACTTGGGTAACAGAGCAAGACTGTCTTAAAAAAAAATACAGAGGGCCAGGCGTTCTGTCTTACGCCTATATCCTAGCACTTTGGGAGGCTGAGGCAGGTGGACTGTTTGAGTCTAGGAGTTCAAGACTAGCCTGGGCAACATGGCAAAGCTCCACCTTTACAAAAAAATGTTTAAAAAGTTAGCTGCCTGTGGTTCACATCTGTAGTCCTAGCAACTCGGGAAGCCAAGGTGGGAGGATTGCTTGAGCCCAGGAGGTAGAGGTTGCAGTGAGCTGTGATAATACCATTGCACTCTAGCCTGGGCAACAGACCAAGACCTTGTCTCAAAACAAAAATAAAAAAAAAATACAGAGAGCTATCAGTATTAATATTGAGACTACAATAAAATCTCCTTTAAGGTATGAACTTTAGAGTCTAGTAAGAGTGCAGGGATTTCCTGATATATATATTTCATTTTTATTTTGAGATAAGTATTATAATAATTCTAAATTAAACTTTTTAGACTTTTTTTTTTTTTTTTTTGAGACAGGAGCCTTGCACTGTCGCCCAGGCTGGAGTACAATGGTGTTACCTCGGCTCACTGCACCCTATGCCTCCCAGGTTCAATCGATTATCCTGCATGAGCCTCCCAAGTAGCTGGGATTATAGGCGCCTACCACCATGCCTGGCTGATTCTTTTGTATTTTTAGTAGAGATGGGGTTTCACCGTGTTGGCCAGGCTGGTCTTGAACTCTTGACCTCGTGATCCACCCGCCTCGGCCTCCCAAAATGCTGGGATTCCAGGCGTGAGCAAACGCGCCTGGCCTTTTTCAGACAGTCTCACTCCGTCGCCAGGCTGGAGTGCAGTGGCTCGATCTCAGCTCACTGCAATCTGCGGCTCCCAGGTTCAAGCAATTCTCCTGTCTCAGCCTCCCAAGTAGCTGGGACTACAGGTGTTCGCCACCACCTCCGGCTAATTTTTTTTTCTTTTTTTTTCTCTTTTTGGATTTTTAGTATAGACGAGTTTCACCATGTTGACCAGGATGGCCTTGATCTCCTGACCTCATGATCTGCCCGTCCCCCCATTTTTTTTTTTTTTTTTTTTTTTTGAGACAGAGTCTCTCTTTGTGGCCCAGGCTGGAGTGCAGTGGGGCAATCTCGGCTCACTGCAACCTCCGCCTCCCAGGTTCAAGCGATTCTCCTGCCTCAGCCTCCCGAGTAGCTGAGACTACAGGTGCGTTCCACAAAGCTATTTTTAGTAGAGATGGAGTTTCACCGTCTTAGCCAGGATGATCTCTATCTCTTGACCTCATGATCCGCCTGTCTTGGCCTCCCAAAGTGCTGGGCTAACAGGTGTGAGCCACCTCGCCCTGCCCTATATTGGGATTTTAAATTAAGATTCATAATTTTGAGACAGGATAGTTCCCTTTATCCCCTTTGCACTCAGCCCTCTGCTGGCTACTACTCGCGGGAGGGAGCTTGCGAGCAAGAGAGCCAGTGCAGAAACAAGCGAATGAACTGGCCAGTCGCTACTCTCTGGCAGGTGCAGGCTCTGCGTGGGCCCTGCAGCAGCGTCCAAGCACGTTACAACCAGTTCTCTTCCAGCTCTGCAGTCCAGGACCGGCCAAGTGCCAACCAGCTCAGTGGAAGGTCAGAGTGGCAGCCCCTGTCCTCTCCACACCCCGTTCTTGTTCAGGGTCCAGGAAGAGTCAGGTCACACGAACTGTTTGAAAGGTGATGAATGCAGAAGACTATTGAACAGTGTGTGGCTCTCAGTGGAAAGGGAGGCTGGAAAGGGGATGGGAAGGTGATCTTTCCTTGAAGTCCGGCTATATCTTGCAGGCCCCTATCTGAAATCACACTGTCTCAAATTAGCCGAATTCGGTAGTCTCTGATGCTCAGCAGCTTGTGTCCTTGACACTCAGCTGCTTGTGTTGCTCTGCCAGCTGAAGTCTTTTATGGGCACAGGATAGGAGCAGGGCAGGCCAAAAAGGCAACATTTCGGCTGAAAAAAATGGGGTCAACTGTTTTCACTTAAGGCAAGCTTAAGGGTGGGGCTTAGCCGGGATCCCAGCCCTCCTGTGTCAGTTTGACTTTAAAACTTGCAGCACATTATGTAGTCTCATTAGGGGTGTGTGTGTGTGTGTGTGTGTGTGTGTGTGTGTGTGTGTGTATACACATTTTAGGGCAAGCTTAAGGGTGGGGCTTAGCTGGGATCCCACCCCTTCTGTGTCAGCCCTTCATTATGTAGCCTCACTAGAATGTGTGTTGTGTGTACGCACACACTTTAGGGCAAGCTTAAGGGTGGGGCTTAGACAGGATCCCAGCCCTTCTGTGTCAGTTTGACTTTAAAACCTGCAAGCACATTATATAGCCTCACTAGGGGTTTATGTGTGTGTGTGTGTGTGTGTGTGTGTGTGTGTACACATTTTCTTTCCCACATACTATTATTGAGCACTTTATAAAGATTTGTAACTGGCAGACTTCTGACACTTTCAGCAAGTTAAGAAGAAAACATGTTTTTATTTTTATTTTTTTGAGATGGAGTTTCGCTCTTGTTACCCAGGCTGGAGTGCAATGGCGCGATCTTGGCTCACCGCAACCTCCTCCTCCTGGGTTCAGGCAATTCTCCTGCCTCAGCCTCCTGAGTAGCTGGGATTACAGGCACGTGCCACCATGCCCAGCTGATTTTTTGTATTTTTAGTAGAGACAGGGTTTTACCATGTTGATCAGGATGGTCTTGATCTCCTGACCTTGTGATCCACCAGCCTTGGCCTCCCAAAGTGCTGGAATTACAGGCGTGAGCCACTGCACCCGGAAGAAAACATGTTTTAACCACCCTTTCTTGTGGTTGCAAACTGTCCAAAGAGTGCATAGTGAGGGGAATACTGCTAATGCCTACACAGCACATCTGCATCAATGAGCTTTGCTTTACTTTGGTGCAATTTTTGGAAAAATGAAAACCCGATCTACCCTTCCCCCCAAAAAATATGTTTTGATTGCTTTTGCTGATGACATGTTGAAACATATCCTATGGCAGATGTGAACTGATGACATAGCAGAAAAACTCAGCAGTGGGAGTATCCTCATTTCACACTAAATCCAGGCACAAATCCAAATACAGCAGTAAACACTACATTTGCCATCAACTGAGATATTACCAAGTAAAGTTGTATTTAGGACCAGGAAACTTTTTCAGCTATTTAATAGTATGTTAATAAATAGGTAGCAGGAGTAATTGGGATATATTTCATTATTCATATGTAACTGTTTTTTGGCCAGGCACGGTGGCTCACGCCTGTAATTCCAACACTGTTGGAGGCTGGGGCGGGTGGATTGCTTGAGCTTGAGAACTCAAGATCAGCTTTGGCAATATGGCAGAACCCCATTTCTACCAAAAATGAAAAAAACTAGTTGGGTGTGGTGGCGCAGGCCTGTAGTCCTGTCTACTCTGGAGGCTGAGGTGGGAGGATCACTTGAGCCTGGGAGGTTGAGGCTGCAGTGAGCCCTGATTTTGCCACTGTACTCATGCCATACCCAGAGACCCTGTCTCAAAACAAACAAAAACATATGTAATTTTTTTTGTCATTGCTGAAATCTCATCTGAAAGTAATTAGTAGAATAACAAAATTTCTTTAATACTGCACGTTGGGGGTTATCAAAATTTTACTCCAAGTCAGTGTATACTTGGTTTTACATATTTACATATGTAATGGTTTTCTTTTGTAATTTTCTTTTTCTTTTTTTTGAGACAGAGTCTCACTCTGTTACCAGACTGGAGTGCTACATTTAGGGAGAATAGGAAACCAAGGAAAGTTATGATGAGGGTACATTAAATTAAAAAGGATCTTGGGAGGAGGTAAGAAGTATGAGAAAGAGTGGGTAGAAAAGTTAGAGCATGAGGAGACAGTGAAATTGGAGAAGCCCAGGAAATAAAGTGATTCAAGAAGACAAAATGATAAATGGGAAAATGCTTTTTAGTATCCATAGATGCCTAGAAAATTATCTGTTTCTCAATAAATAGGTCACATGCATTTATGTCTGTAACTTCTTAACTGTTAATTTCACAACTGAGTGATGAAATGATACAGTTAGCCCAATGCCTGACGTAGTAAGCACTTAATGAGTATTATTTATCTCTACTTCCATCTGTCATTGTTTGCTTATTCTCTCAATATAGAAAACTGAGAGTTGTCCTTGAATTTTTCCTTCTCCTCAATCCAAATATCAAGTCAATTACTGGGTCTCACTGATTATGCTTCTATGTGCATCAAAAATGCACTTCTCATGTTTATTCCAACTGTTTCTCTCTTTGCTCACATATGTAGGCTTTTCTGCATTATTTTTCCCTTTGCCTGTAAGGTCCCGTTCACCCTGGCCTCAGTACTTGGCTCAAGTAGCACCCCTTTGTAAATTTTACCTGATTGTCTCAGCCAGAATTAGGCATTTCTTTCACAGTGCTCTCTTAGCAACTAGTAGAGATTTCATTTGAGGCACTTAATTTGTAATCATTTATTTGTGTGCTTCTTTTAAATAAAATACTGCCATGCAGGGCTAGTGTTCTAAATATGTTTGTTTCCTACCTCCCATATTGTTGCATGGTAACGTTTTCAGTTAACAATATGTTGAATAATAGAATAAGTGAAAATATTTACACATATAATGTTTGTATAACTAAAAATAGGTGTCTGATGAGTTTGGTGATTTCATTGAGGGTCCACTTAGCCCACCGTCCGGGTGAGTTGAAACTTTAAAAATTAATGTAAAAAATAGGGTAAAATGTGGTAATGGTACAGAAATATATTTTGGAGGCACTTTTTTTTTTTTTTTTGGAGACAGAGTGTCTCTCTGTCTCGTCAGGCTGGAGTGCAGTGGCTCGATCTCGGCTCACTGCAACCTCCGCCTCCCAGGTTCAAGCAATTCTTCTTCCTCAACCTCCTGAGTAGCTGAGACTACAGGCGTGTACTACCACACCCAGCTAATTTTTGTATTTTTAGTAGAAATGGGGTTTCACCATGTTGGCCAGGATGGTCTCGATCTCTTGATCTCGTAATCTGCCCTCCTCAGCCTCCTAAAGTGCTGGGATTACAGGTGTAAGCTATTGCTCCTGGGTGGTACTTTTTAATTTTTTTTCTTTTTATTTATTTTTAAAATTAGATTTGCGATGGACTTGAGGAAGTACTTGTTCTTATGAGTTTACACCATTAGTCAAGAAGGATGTAAGGAGGCCAGGCACTGTGACTCATACCTGTGATCCCAACTCTTAGGGAGGCAGAGGTGAGAGGATACCTTGAGCCCACGAGTTTGAGACCTGCCTGTACAATATAGCCAGACCCTGTTCTCTACAAAAAAAAGAAAAGAAAAATATAAAAGAGCCTATCAAGGTTGTAATTAACTTCTATAACAATTGTGTCTGTTTAGGTGTGACATCTCAGATTTATTTCCTGTATTTCTTGAGACAGCCAATAGATAGGTCAAATTCAAAACTTTACCACATGAATAATTTTTTTAATATTAAAGACTAGTTTTTAGCTAGGCATAGTGGCTCAAGCTGGAATTACAAACATGAGGCCCCATGGGAGGCTGAGGCAAGAGAAGCTCTTGAGTCCGGGAGTTTGAGACCAGCCTGGTGAACATGGGGAAAAACCCTCCCAAAACCAAAAAAGTTATCCAGGCATGGTGGTGTTTCTCTGTAGTTCCAGCTGTTTGGAAGGCTGAGGCAGGAGGTTCACTTGAATCCAGAAGGTTGAGGCTGCAGTGAGCTGTGATCATGCTACAGCACTGGTCTTAGTGACAGACTGAAACCTTATTTCAAAAATGAGAAAAACCCTCTTTCAGAGTAGTTTTTAGGTTAATAGCAAAATTGAGAGGGAAGTACACAGGAGAATTTTTTTAAATGGTAAACTTCAATATTTAAAAATTGAGGTGCCCAGTGCAGTGGCTCACACCTGTAATCCCAGCACTTTGGGAGACCAAGGCAGGCGGCTCACTTGAGGTCAGGAGTTCATTACCAGCCTGACCAACATGGTGAAACCCTGTCTCTACTAAAAATACAAAAAATTAGCTGGGCATGGTGGTGGGTGCTTGTAATCCCAGCTACTCAGGAGGCTGAGGCAAGAGAATTGCTTGAAGGGAGGTGGAGGTTGCAGTGAACCAAGATCATGCCACTGCACTCCAGCCTGGGTGACAGAGCAAGATTCAGTCTCAAAAAAAAAAAAAAAGGATTTGGAGTGTGTGTGAATTTGATTAGTAGATACACTTTAGTACACTTGCTTAACAGTTTCAGAAATAAATTGTTAATATCAGGTTTGTCAAAGATCGGATGGTTGTAGATATGTTGTGTTTCCTCCGAGGCCTCTGTTGCTGTTCCATTGGTCTATATCTCTGTTTTGATACCAGTACCATGCTGTTTTGATTACTGTAGCCTTGTAGTATAGTTTGAAGTCCGGTAGTGTGATGCATTCTGCTTTGTTCTTTTTGCTTAGAATTGACTTGGCTATGCAGGCTTTCTTTTGGTTCCGTATGAAGTTTAAGGTGTTTTTTTTTTTTTCAGTTTTGTGAAGAAGGTCATTGGTAGCTTGATGGGAATAGCGTTGCATCTGTAAATTACTTTGGGCAGTATGGCCATTTTCACAATATTGATTCTTCCTAGCCATGAACGTGGAATGTTTCTACATCTATTTGTGTCCTCTCTTATTTCATTGAGCAGTGGCTTGTAGTTCTCCTTGAAGAGGTCCTTTACATTCCTTGTTAGTTACATTCCTAGGTATTTTATTCTCTTTGTAGCAATTGTGAATGGCAGTTCGTTCTTGATTTGGCTCTCTTTAAGTCTGTTATTGGTATATAGGAATGCTTGTGATTTTTGCACATTGATTTTTGTGGGGAAAGGATTCCCTGTTTAATAAATGGTGTTAGGAAAACTGGTTAGCCATGTGCAGAAAGCAGAAACTGGACCCCTTCCTCACACCTTACACTAAAATTAACTCCAGTTGGATTAAAGACTTAAGCATAAGACCTAACACCGTAAAAACCCTAGAAGAAAATCTAGGCAAAACCATTCAGGACGTAGGCGTAGGCAAGGACTTCATGACCAAAACACCAAAAGCATTGGCAACAAAAGCCAAAATAGACAAATGGGACCTAATCAAACTCCACAGCTTCTGCACAGCAAGAGAAACAGTCATTAGAGTGAATCAGCAACCAACAGGATGGGAAAAAATTTTTGCAGTCTGCCCATCTGACAAGGGGCTGATAACCAGAATTTACAAAGAACTAAAACAGATCTACAAGAAAAAAACAAACAAGCCCATTCAAAAGTGGGCAAAGGATATGAACAGACACTTTATGAAAGAAGACATACAGGAGGCCAACAAACATATGAAAAAATGCTCATCATCACTGGTCATCAGAGAAATGCAAATCAAAACTACATTGAGATACCATCTCACGCCAGTTTGAATGGTGCTCATTAAAAAATCTGGAGACAACAGATGTTGGAGAGGATGTGGAAAAATAGGAACACTTTTACACTGTTGGTGGGAGTGTAAATTAGTTCAACCATTGTGGAAGACAGGGTGGCGATTCCTTAAGGACCTAAAAATAGAAATTCCATTTGACCCAGCAATCCCATTACTGGGTATATATCCAAAGGATTATAAATCGTTCTACTATAAGGACACATGCACACGAATGTTCATTGCAGCACTGTTTACAGTAGCAAAGACCTGAAACCAACCCAAATGCCCATCGATGATAGACTGGACAGGGAAAATGTGTTACATATACACCATGGAATGTTATGCAGCCATCAAAAGCAATGAGTTCATGTCCTTTGTAGGGACATGGATGAACCTGGAAACCATCATTCTCAGCAAACTGACACAAGAGCAGAAAATCAAACATCGCATGTTCTCACTCATAGTCGGGTGTTGAACAATGAGAACACATGGACACAGG